CTCTCACTTCTCCAGAGGTTTAGAAGGCCCTATTTCACCACTGCCACACAGAAAAAGACAAAACTCAAGAAAAATAATATTACAAGTTGACTGCTCTACAAGATAAAACATTTTTAGCTCAGAATTTCTTGGCTTTTGGCACCAGGCCAGCATACTATTAACCAGATTGGGAACAAAAAGGTTAAGCCCTAGAATTTAAATGTATTTACTTCTCTAATGTAACTCATTGTACCTTTCAAATACAAGGTGTTCTTATTACTAAGGTAATTCTCCAGCTCTGGGGGGCACCTTTCATTTTTGTTTTTGCATGTTCTGAGCTACATCAGGTAGGGCACATAAATACGTAACATAAAAACAGACAGGTCAGATAGGTAGAGGATAGGAGGGGGAAGCAGTTGACATATATTTTCCTTCAAATAATTTTACAATGTCTTAACTTGTTGATGGCAAATCTCTGACTGAAACACAGATCTAACAAATTTCAGAGTTCAGGTTCTTTTTACAGAACGTCTTCAGCCATCACACTAACACTGCTTTCTTCAAGCCTTGCGTGTTGTATACTCTGCAGATGAAAATGAAGGGCAAATTCCAAAGCTGAAGGGTAGAATTCTATTTTCTGCAGCCATGTTTTGCCCTAATGGATCCCAAATTTAAGAAAGAAAAAGTCTCTTAAATTTTTTCCACATCAGGGAATGTAAACATTTGAAAGAAAAGATGGCTTGAATTATCTGGGTGCTGAAAATTACATTTCTGACATAAAATAAATTGAGCTCTGTTGATTCTGGTTGACATAAGCAATTGGTTTAAATAAAACAAACAAAATAGTAATTTTTAAAAGAAAGCTTAAGTAGGAGCTTATAGGATGTATACCTAATTCTATTCCTATCTCATGTAGTTAAAATCAGAGAATTATGCATATTTTCTCACTTAAAATCTCTTACAAATTTTAGTCATCCTGTGGCTCTAGACTTTCTTACGATTTCTAACTTAGTACCATGATGATTAGTACATCAATACATCCAATTCACAGCCACAAACTGAATTGCAATCTTCATAGCATCTTTTTATTGCCAGCATAAGAAGTTAATGAGAAATTAGTTTCCTGCCCCATAAATGACTGGTGGTGGATTTTGATAGAAATGAACAATTCTGTTACTAATGATTGACCTAGATGATTTGATTCTCCTGAATAAAACTGATGCTTTTTTACCCCTTGCTAGCATACAGATATGTAAATAGCTAAGTTTCCTCTGGTTTTAGTGAAGTCATATTTTCTTGAGTCTGACAGAAAGCAATGAAAGTAGGCCACTTAAAAGAACATACAGCCATTGTCTATGCAATCTCCCTTGCCACATTCTTCTATTCTCCCTTGCACATAACACTTGATGGTAACCAGATTAAAGTAGTTGGTTAAGCATAGTAGCATTGAACCTGTTGTTGAGAAATGAGGTAATAGATGCATAAAATTAAAATCACAGTGGGTTGGGAAAAGTTGTTTCACTTAAAGCACTGAATAACTTTTTTGTGAGTCTGCGCTAGGTTAGGGTGGTTATATAACCACCCTATCATTTCCTGAGCTTATTTCTCATTTCTTCTATGAGTGTGCCTGTCTTCATAAGTTTACCCTGAAAATCCACATTTTCATAAACTGAATTGTAAATGGAGTAGCCAATTTTTATTTTGAAGCAAACTCAGATTGCTCAATAATCAAATCAGCCACAGTATGGTGATTTGTTCATAGTTGGTTGTTTTGCTTACTGGCCAAAGAAATGATGAATTTCTTATCCCTATCTTCTGTAACCCAGGGGTGGGGCACCTTTTTTTCTGCCAAGGGCAATTTGCATATTTATAAGATCATTTGTGGGACATACAAATTACCAACTGTAACAGATTTTTTGAATTTCAAGCACTGCCTGTGGTTGCCTTGGCAAGTCCAGGCCAAATGATTTTGCCGGCCTTATATGGCCTTTGGGTGGGGCTTTCCCCACCTCTGGTTAAGCAAAAGGAAGCAAATGGTTGTCCTGTCATCTTGCTTTTTCTTGGGAATACTTATTTTGAAATGACTTGAATCCCTCGTCAGTCTCACAACCAAAAAAAAAAAATAAATAAATAAAAGGAAACAAAGATTGGTGGGATAGGTTAAAACACAAAAGACAGGAATGGGGAAAACAGAGAGGGGAAAAGTCAGACATAGAAATGTGGAAGTTGAATTCAAATTATTTTTGACTCATCTACTGCGGGTGGAGGGGGAGAAGGTTGACAATACCACTAACTGTTTTAAATGAAGGAAAATCAAAACATTTATCAGCATTAATATTTATTTATGAAACATCATTCTGAATGATCCATTCAAGTAAGTTTTGTCTTGCACTCATGTACTTTGGCGTCACTCAGCATGTTCATTAGGTACCCACTATCAGCAGCCACCTGACCAGGCACACAGCAGAAGAGGAGCAAGGAGCACAACCTGCTAGCTTTGTCACACGTGTTCCGAGGCTGAAAAGGCCCCTCTTCGTACTTCTTGGTAGGTGGAGTGTGTAGCTTAGATTCAGTAGGGAATGTAGAAGGCTCGGTCTAGTTCAAATCCCAGCCCTCGTATATACTTTGTGTGGCTTTAGGAAAAATCATCTAAGCTTCTGTCCCCTACCTGGAAAGTCAATATGATACTTACCTCAAAGGCTGTGAGGTCTGATCAAAAGTATGCATGTAAAGTATTAGCAGAACACAAGAGTGCTAAAGAAATGGATGCTGGGACCACGGAGCCCTAGCACGGGACCAGCGACAGGTTCCCAACATCAGATACTTGCCTCAGTGTCCTGGCGTTCTTCCTATCACCTTGGTTTATGGGCGGGATTCTAGAAGCCTATGTTCCCCCTGAGTCTTGTGGTACCCTGCAAGCCTAGAAATCCTCGAGGCTGGGCCCTAGAGCTGACTCGGTGAGAAGCATTTGTTACGAAGGAGATGGGGGCAGTGAAGCAAGTTGAGAAACTGATCAAAATAATTCAATGGTAAAAAAAAATTATTTTAACTCATAAAAACAGCTAAATTTAGGCATATCAAGATTTCTTTATTCTCAACTGAGTATACACATACATATTCAAGTTGTTTTTTCTTTTGGTTTTGATTTAGCTCTTTGTTAACAATGACGACTTTTATGTTTAATTTAAGTATTAACAACTGCTATACTAGGTCTTTGGGAGATTTCCCAGAGATCTATTAAATACAGAAGTTCTCTAACCAGTGATATAGGAGAATGAACAATCGCCCACCATTCTCTCTTCCCACTTTTTAGAATGCGACAGTTAGTATGTTGAGTGTTTAGACATATCCTTGGCCTGTTTGCAACAACTGCCACATTAGCGATTCTGTAATTATACTTGAATTATTTTAATCTAGTCAAATTATTTGAACCCCTAACTCACTTCAGCTGTAATTTTCAAATGTTTAATTTTTAATTTATATTCTGTTCATACTTTTAACTACAGTAAAACATGATTTTTCATGTCTATTACTTTTAATTAGTGTTCTGACTGCCCTGGCAAACTCTGTCCTTATTTTAATTCTTTTATTTTTATAACTAGCCCCTCTGGAATCCTGATTCTAATTTTCACCTGCACCCAAACTGTTAATTACTCTACACATGAAACATCTGCCACGTTCAATGTTACCCATGTGGGTCATTTCGCTATTTTTACTGTGAAAATAGGGGAGAAATTAAGAGCAATGAGACCTAACCCACTGTTGCCTTGGTTGTGCTTTATTAATCTGTGCAATTCTCAGACCAACTGACTTCAGAATTACAGAACCTCCAAGCTGCACATCACTGCTGGCAAGCTCATTACACACCCAGGATCTCTTGCCATTCAGAACCAAGGAGCCTCGAAGCACCAGGGTCTATTTGTGAGGCAGAGAGGGACAAGATCCCTGTCCATCTATCTAGTTTTTCATTTTTAGTTTTGGAGCCCACACACGTTAAGTTCCAAAGGCAGGAGAAGCAGCCTGGATTCATTGCCATCACATCCCAGAGGGCAAGAAGCAACAGGGGCGGGAAATACTGCTCTGTAGCTGCACCCCAGGAGAGGTGTGAGGAACTGGGCAGGAGACCTGCGACATGTCTTTCATTCCCCCTAATTCACAAGGCCAGTATCCTTCCAGCGACTTAAAGGAAAACTGACACATGCAACACAGAGAAGCCTGTGCTGCCCCATAGCCAGTTCCAGAACAAAAAGGACTATCTTGTACGATAGGGAACTGGGAGAACGCATGACGAGGTGCGGCTCTGTGAAAATACAAACATTCCAGTCACGTGAGATGAGATTAAGTTTAATGTTGACATGTTTTCTCGCTAACGGCTGGCTGCTAGCACATGTCAGATAACCAAGTTGAACGCCCCCTTAACTGTGTAGATGACCCCTTCTTCCAAGCCCTGTTCTGCACTGGCAGGAAAACCACTGCGCCGAACTTTGATCAAGCTCATGGAAAAAAGTGATTCCCCTCCCAGAATTATATCCACTAAGATAATACAGAGTTTGGAAAACTGGTTTATCTCACCTATTTATACTGCTCTCAGAATGGTCTCCAGCAGTCACGTATACATGTACACCACGTAGCAAGTTGCAGCTCAGACTCAATCACTAGATGAACTACTGTATCCAAGACTAAGGCAAACTCCTTTTCCTGCTGTCACCTACGTGGCTTTAAAAACAAAACCCCTGGCTGCTTCTTGTGTATCTCTTTGTATATCTCCCCCTTCTCTACCTACCATTATTTTGTTTTAATTCTGCGCTGGCTCCCCTGCTTTTCCTATCCTTAACACTTCAACATGTAAACCCTCAAACCTCTGAGCTCTGCGTTCTAATATTTTCCGTTAAATCAGTATGAGCCAGTGTCTTGCAATTCTCTTGGCAACTTCTTCTTTTATGTAAATTGTATACGAAAATGATTATTGTATACGAAAATCTTAAAAATTTGATGTCAACAAAAAGGACAATGCTATTAGATTACTGTTCATAATCACAGAATTATATTTTAAAATACACAAGTTAATTAAAATCCCTTTCATTACGAGAAGGGTATCGTCACATTGCAGGTCATTCCCATCAAAAGGCATTCTAGTCAACAGACGTGTTTATTGGTGGGTCAGCTATGCCAGTGTTTTAATCCACATGTACCTGATATAGGCCCTAAAGTTGGCAACAACAATAGTACTTTAGCTGAAAAATGATAACCTGTTTCCATTTATATGCTCTGTGATTATATTATGGTCCTCAAATTTTGTAATCCTTTCCAGAAAAAAAAAAAAAAACATGGTGATAAACTGCAATTTGCTGTAACACATTTTCCCCAAATGTTGGATAGTATAAGACACAAGACATTTTTGTGCACTCTACTTTTATAGAACAACCAGATTTATAATTTCTTTATTTTATTAGATTTATTAATATACATGGCGGCTTTCTCAAATCTCAAAGTTCCAAAAGTATGTAATTTTAAAGGTGAAAAATCATTTTTCTTTAGATGTCATATTCCTAGAGAGCTATTAAAGTCTATTTATAAACAAAAAATAATTGATAAACTAACACACTTTAGAAATCGGAATATTTTAAATTAAAATATTTTTAGTGAATACAAGATATGTCTTTTTAATTAACTATCATAGTTAAATTTAACATCACAAAACAAAATGGCTTATCCCCACTAATCTCTCAAGAGGGGGAAAGTCATTGGGATTTACACTTAATATAAGTTTTAAATCTGATTATTAAATGATAATATTTTATCAATTATAGGAAATATTCATTTATAGGAACTTCCTCAGGTCCATTCATCTTTTTAGGCCAAGTTTGAGCCCATGTCAACCTTAAAGGTTAGATTCAGTGCACCTAACTTGCCCAATGAGCTTGTCAATTTAAGAATATGAATTTCACTGATAATGAGGGAAAATAAAAAGTAGCCAACTCATTGTTTGACCAAAACCAAAACAACAAAAGAAAACTAAAGGCAATTAGGATAGTTTCAAAAAACTAATTTCTTTAAATTTTTTTTAATTTAAATAGGAAGGGCCAATGGTGTTGGGTTTAAAATTTCACAGGATAACCTTAAAAAAATAAAATAAAAATAGTGAAGTAATGACCTTATGGATTTAAAAAAAAAAAAAAACCTAAAGTTCAATAGTCACCAAAGGGGTACCAACCAGTAATCTACATTTAAAAGTAACTGTAATCATAGCTATGAAAAACTAAAAAACAAAGAATCTAGTAAGAAACAATGAAAATGATAAACATTTAACACCTAACATGTAGATACTTAAGGTCCTAAACAAAAATTTTAAAGGTAAAAGGGCCTTGAAAAATTTTCCCAACAATTCATCTTAAATTGATTTCTAAATAGCTCATATCCTTTGCTTTGGTGTGTTTTGTCTGCTACCCACTAAAACATTAGTACAGTAGAAAATCACTTAGGTTCTTTTCAAATGCTTGGCATTATAATGGGATCTCATATCTTTCCTCAAATTAAATTTGGCTCCACATATTCCACATGTGTACAGATGAACATCCATGTGCTGCTCCAGCTGCTCATTACTCGGGAATATCTGAAAGCACACCTGGCATATCGTCTCACCCGCAGACAAATGGGAAATCATATGGCGCACATGGTCATGTTTTCTGAAGTTGCCTTGATCACAAATGGAACAGACATACCTGGCCATGCCCTTGTGCATATCATTGTGCAGTCGCAACTGACGCTCCCTTAAAAACTGCTTTCCACAAGTCTGACAGACAAACTGTTTCTCCTTAGTATGCACCGTGTAGTGTTCTCTCAGGTGACAGCGCTGGTAGAACCCTTTCCCGCACAGGTTACAGAAATGCTTCCGTCTGTGGTCTCTCTCGTTCTCCTCCAGGATGGCACTCTTAAACATCTCTTGGTCTAGGCAGCCGGACATATGCTCGACCACCAGGTTCTCAGTCTCGAAACGCTGGCCGCAGTTCGGGCAGCGGAAGGGGCAGGCGGAGTGCTTGAACAACTGCTTCTTCTGGATGCTGTTTATCTGGCAGTGCGCGTCCCTGAAGTCGTCCAGCATGTCCACGAACATGTCCCTGATCTCGGCCTGCTCGTCGGCGTGCTCCTCCAGGTCCATCTTCTCCTCGGGGTTCCCGAGCCCGTTCATCGTCAGATCCTGCGGCTCCCCGCACCTCTGCGCGTGCTCCTGCAGCTGGCGCCCCTTGACCAGGATCTGCCCGCACTTCCCGCACGCGCAGATGTTCTCGATGTGCTTGGCGAGGTAGTGCGAGGACAGGTCCTCCTCGGTGATGGTGAGCCCGCACAGCTCGCAGGCGGCGTGCTCGGCGTCCTCGGGCGCGGGGCTGCCGCCGGGAGGGGCCCGCAGGGCCTCCAGGACGCCGCGCTCGTCCGCGCTCAGCGCCATGCGGGGCTTCAGGGGCTTGCGGCCGCTGCGCTTGACGCCGACGTCCTCCTCCACGTAGTACCTGTAGAACGGCTCCTCGGGCTCGTCCTCCAGCTCGTCGTTGTCCGTGGACTCGTTGCAGTCCTTCTCGGCCACCTTGATGATGTGGAAGTCCTTCAGCTCGGCGGCCGGCACGTCCTCCGGCTCCATCTTGACGACCACGCGCTTGCGCTCGGCCGCGCGGCCGCGCTCCTCTGCCGCCGCCTCCGGCTCCGCCGCGCCGCCCTTCCTGCCGCCGGGCGCCGAGGCCGCGTCCTCGGCGGCCTGGCCCGCGTCCCCTCTGTATTTGTCTGCCTGCGCGGAGCAGCTCTTGGAAGGCTCCTTCTCGCCGCACTCGGCCTTCACGCCGGCGTCTTTGCCGTCGCGGATGTCCACTATCCTGTGGTAGGACCTGGGGTTCTGGTACGAGTGCCTGTTGGTGCAGGTCAGCACGTGCTCGTCCAGCAGCTTCTCACAGCTGAACCCGAAGCCGCAGCTGTCGCAGGTGAAGCTCCGCCCGAAGCGCCGCGACACGCGTTCCTTCGGCGTGGACAGTTTGGACACGGAGCTCTTCTTGCACACGTCGAACAGGGGCTCGGGAAAGCCGCCCAGCGGCAAGGCCTCCTCGTCCGGCTCTCTGCCGTGCGGGGTGTTCACCGTGGAGCTCGGCTCGGCACACCACCTGCTGGCTTCGCTGCCGCCCCTCGCCACGGTGTCCTCGTACATCCTGACCCCGAATATCATCTTGCTGTTCTGCTTGCTGGACGCGGAGGACGAACACTTGGAACTAGAGCAGTCCGCGTCCTGTATGTCTTCCAGGCAGTCGGGCACGTTGTACAGCTGCAGGTAGTTCATGGCCACCTTAAACTGCTCGAAACTGGAGGGCGCGGTCATAATCTTCCCTAAATACATGAACTGCAGGATGAGGTCGAAGCACTCGGCGCTGATCTTCATGTTGCTGAGGTTCAGCTGGGCGGTGCTGTGCTGATGGTTCATGAAGAACATCCTGAAGTAGGAGCTGCAGGCGGCCAGGACAGCTTTGTGAGCCTGGAAGTAGATGTCGTCGATGGCGATGCAGCAGTCGCAGAGAAAGCCCCACTCTCTCTGGTTGTTCAGCTGCTGCAGGACGTAGCTGCTGTGGCTGGGCTTCGCCATCTTCTAGGAATCACAGACCTGGGAGAGACAACAACGCTCACGTCAGAGAAGCAGCCGAACACACACAGCGCTGCCGCGATGCTGTGCTGCGGACACTGCTAGTACAAGGTACGAACAGCTTTCCCTTCTGACGGAAACGTAGCAAGAGTCAGTGACGTGTGCCTGGGGCAGTCTTAAACCTGCAAGATTCTCAGACATTTATTCGGAATTCTCTCATTGAACAAAGGCTTCAAAAGTAAAAACCAACATTTTGGTTTCATTTTGCCCCGAGGGAGAAAATATATATACTAAATTTGAAAGGAAAAAAAACCACCCCCACATTAATTTAAAAGTACTAGAAGGATATAAGCAATGAAAACACATAAAATAGCAACTTAAATGGAAAGTAATTAGATCATACAGTAGCAAAAACTTGTTAGAAGATTGGTATTAACGAACTATTGCTCATTTTCTAAGTGTAATAAGAGTTTGGCTTTTAGGTTAAGAGTCTATCTTTTAGATATAGATGTTGAAGAAATTATAGATGAAATGATGTATCTAAGATATGCTTCCAAATAAATGGAGGTGTGGGGGCTATAGATGATACAAGATTGGCCATGTGCTGATAACTACTGAACCTTAAAAGTAAGTATAAATCCTATTTTTTGTAGCCTGAAATTGCTAACAGAAAAAAAAAAAACCTATTTTAAAAGTCTTATTAGAACATGTGGAAATATAACCAAATAGGTTTGATGATTTTCTCTTTAATTATTGGGAAGAGCAGTAATTCTATAGAGTAAGACTATGTCTTTTATTGTCCAGCATGTACTTTAGGGTGTAAAACAGCAGTGGATCTATTTGGGAAGTATCTAAACTTGACTATACATTTTCCTTATATTTTGTTCATTGTTAAAAAAAAAAAGTGTACAGGCCAGCGCCACGGCTCACTAGGCTAACCCTCTGCCTGCAGCACTGGCACCCCGGGTACTAGTCCCGGCTGGGGCGCCGGATTCTGTCCCGGTTGCCCCTCTTCCAGTCCAGCTCTCTGCTGTGGTCCGGGAGTGCAGTGGAGGATGGCCCAAGTGCTTGGGCCCTGCACCCCATGGGAGACCAGGAGAAGCACCTGGCTCCTGGCTTCAGATCCGCACAGCGCGCCAGCCGTAGTGGCCATATGGGGAGTGAACCAACGGAAGGAAGACCTTTCTCTAACTCTGTCAAAAAAAAAAAAAAAAAGTGTACAAAAGTGACCCATGCTCACTGCAAAGAATTTAACCGAAGTGTGTAGGATGAAAACATTCCTTGGGCTGCATGCCTTTTCCCAGAAGTAACCCCGCCAAACACAATGGATTATTTACCTTCAGATCTACGTAGATGCACACACACAGGGTGCTATGGTTTGAGAAACATCTGGTTCCCGAACTCGTGTTTAAACCCCAAAGTCACAATAAGTGAACGGCTGTAAGGGTAAAAACTCAACCCAATCATGGTATTTGGGGTGTAGGCCTGGGCGGCGGGGTGGTCCTTAGGTCACCGCATACCCTCAGGCAGTTCTGCAGGGGGGTTTGTTACAAAAGCCGAGCAGGGTCCAGCACAGCCAGCTTCCCCGCTCTCCTCCCCCCTGCTCTGCTGCTGCCATGGGCCGCCCTCACCAGAGGATACTTCATCCTGGACTCAGCCCTCTGGAACCCCGTCAAGCTGCCTTCACTGCAGGATGGAACCTAACACACACAGCCTCCTGGGGACCTCTGTGCCAGGCACAGGTATAGTTTTGCCTTCGTTAGGTTTTTTAACCTAAATGCTTTCACACCACACATTTCTACAACCAGCCTTCTTCACGGCACAACATCAGTGGATCTCTTTAGTAGTTTTTACATAAGGAGGTTGACTTTAGATAAAAGAGAAAAATACTAAAATCACTACAAGTCTTATATATTACCTTACAAAGCTAAAGTAAGATCCAGTTTCAACCTCACAGTTTAATCTGTATACATAAAGTGGCAGAATCTTTTTACTAAAAAACAAGTTCCTGTGCATATTTTACTGAACTTAAAAAGAACATTTAACAAGCTGTTCAGAGAAATACAAGATGTTCACTCTATAGTCCCCAAACTCTTCAAATCTCTGCAGTAATAATTAAGAGAGTAAGTTGATTTGCTTCTGTTTTTTTTAAGATTTATTTATTTGAAAGGCAGCTCTGTGCACACGTGGCCATCTGTATGTAGGTGCATGGCAAACAGGATTCCTTGCTGTTCCGTACTGTCAGCTACAGAGGTTTGAAATATTGTGCCTACTTGAAACGCTGGATCTGATGGTTGCAGTTTTTGAAAGGCAGCACGTTTCGTCTCGTTACCCTCATTTTACACCCAATTGGGTGCAACAGCCAGAGCTGGGCCGATACAATGCCAGGAGCCAGGAGTTTCATCCAATTCACCCATGGGAGTGCAGGAGCCCAAGGACTTGGGCCATCTTCCATTGCCTTCCCAGGCCACAGCAGACAGCTGGATCGGAAGTGGAGCAGCCAGGACTGGAAGTGGGCACCCATATAGGATTCCGGCATGGCAGGCAGTGGCTTCACCTGCTACACCACAACACCGGCCCCTCTTACAGTTTTTTGTCTGTTCCTCTCAGGTCAAATATGGATCACGTACCCCTTTCCTCCATTACTCACAGGCACAGGTGCCTCCTCCTTCCCCAGTTCCCTATCTAGGGATAGAGAATTCCATAGGCAGGGATGTGAGGCTTGTAAAATGAGGGTAACGAGACGAGACGTGCTGCCTTTCAAAAACTGCAACCATCAGATCCAGCGTTTCAAGTAGGCACAATATTTCAAACCTCTGTAGCTGACAGTACCGGAACAGCAAGGAATCCTGTTCACCATGCACCTACATACAGATGGCCACGTGTGCACAGAGCTGCTTGGCCCTGTGTAATTTCTAATTTGAACGCCTGATAGTAAGGCAGTTGTTAAGTAAACTAAGGTAAATCTACTTCCTGTAATTCACTTTAAAATCCACTGGCCCTTCAAAAATATATTTATGAGTGAAGACTATAGGAGAGAAGAAATGTTCAGGACAGACAAATAACACAGGACACAAAGTTATGTTACAATTGGAACTATAGAAACAAGTCCAAATACCCCCACCAATATAGCCTTATTCCAAAGTTGGAAAAAAAGAAAAAAGTTGACCTGAGCCCATTTCAAGTGGGATGAGGTTTCTAGGTCTATAGTCATATCCGTAGGACTAAAGATCTTTAATGAATAAGAGAGAAAAGGCAGAATGAAAACTATTATCTCTAGGAAAAGCTCTCTAGGCACAGGAGCCATTCAGTGGTATTCAGAGGGCTGTCACGCATGTTGGACAGGAGTGAACTGCGACTGCGCGTAAGGGCACAGGCCTTGGATCGCACAACCTGGGGTTCGAACTTGGCTTTGCCACTTTTTGTTTGTGTGTGTGGCACCTTGCGTAACCTTGCTGACCTTCAGTGTCCCGAACCGTCAAAGAGGGATAACAACGCCTCAGATACAAACAGGAGGCTTCACGGAGGCAATGTGTACAACATACGGTGCCTGGTATGGAGTCGCAAACGAAAGCAGCAGTGGCTGTCCTCGCTGCTTAGTGCGTAACTGGATGACCTTGAGGTTTCCTTCCAAGTAGTGTCTGCTAGAAGGCCAGCAGTTAACTTGTAAAAACTTTCAGGTATTAAGTAGTCCATTTTTGAAATAGTGACACAAATAAAAGTTCCCAAACCCTGTCTTAACTAAGTGAAAAGCAGTTTGATGGTCAGCAACCACAATTATTACAACAGCACAGAAGACCAGAATGACACATGCACCTGTAGCTATAGTCACTACTCAATTAAATCAGTGAAGATGTATACAGTCTGTGTTTTAGTGTAACCAGAACACTAAGATGTAGCGCAGAGGAAAAGAATTCTGGGTCAGATCAACCTGGGTAGGAATCCCATTGCCTCTACAAGAGGGGTCTTCCAAAAGTTCATGGAAAATGTGCACTATGAAAAAACTGTGGGGCTGGTGCTATGGCATAGCAGGTAAAGTCACCACCTGCAGTGCTGGCATCTTATATGGGTGCCGGTTCGAGTCCCAGCTGCTCCACTTCCGATCCAGCACTCTGCTATGGCCTAGGAAAGCAGTGGGAGATGGCCCAAGTCCTTGGGTCCCTGTACCCGCATAGGAGACCCGGAAGAAGCTCCTGGCTGCGGATCGGCTCAGCTCCGGCCATTGCAGCCAACAGGGGAGTGAACCAGCAGATGGAAGACCTCTCTCTCTGCCTCTCCTCTCTCTCTGCCTCTCCTCTCTCTCTGCAACTTTGACTTTCAAATTTAAAAAAAGAAAAAAAAACGCATGGATTTCAGAGGATTTCTGCACCAAAATAAATTTATCTCCTCATTCCATCTTCCCATGCACCTTCTGCGGTGCCCTCCTGTGTCTGTCTGTCTGTCCTCCTACCTTCCACTCACAGAGCTGGGAGCTAAACAGCGCTGCGTCTATCAGTGTCAGCCCTCCAGCTTCCAGGCTGACATGCACCTGTAGTTTAAGCATCGTTACACAAACACCGCATTCATTTTACTAGCATTCAAATAAATAAGTAAATCTTTAAAAAATCATCTTTGCTTTAAAAATTTTTATGATGCATTCACTTTCATTAATAGTTTCATTCAAATCCAAAAGAAGTTTTCCAAAAACCTTTAGTGAACTTTGTTAAAGCTTATAGAAAATTTTAATAAAATTGCTTCTATTTCAGATGTTCCTGCCTTTTTTATTATCCTAAGATTTATTTATTTATTTGAAAGGCAGAGTTAGAGAGAGGAGTGAGAGAGAGAGAGAGAATCTTCCTCTCTGGGCTTTTGGATGAGGTCAGTTTCCCTGAGGCTTTGGTTCACTCCCCAAATGGCTGCAACAACCAGGGCTGGCCGGGCTGGGCCAGGCTGAAGCCAGGAGCCAGAAGCTTCTTCCAGATTTCCCACATGGGTGCAAGGGCCCAAGGACTTGGGCCATCCTCTACTGCTTTCTCAGGCGCATGAGCAGGGAGCTGGATCAGAAGTGGAGCAGCAGAACTTGAAACACTGCCTATATGGGATGCTGGCGCTGCAGGCCATGGCTTTAACCTGCAGCACCACAGCGCCAGCCCATTCCTATTTTTATGACTGAAATCGCCAATAGCATTTGTATTCTTCGCTACATCACTGGCAGAAGACGTCTACCTTCTCCACGTAGAAGTCAAGGGCAGGGGCCGAGAGAACTTTCAAATGCGATTCAAGGGACTTAACGGCTTTTGGATGAGGTCAGTTTCCCTGAGGCTAGGACACCCAGTGTGCAGTGCTCAGCAAGAATAAAGAACTAGGTGATCCAAAAAGTTTTACACTGGATTTTAAGATTTTGGTTACTGGCTCATCTCAGGTCAGAAACAGTCACCGAGCACATTAGGCATATTGTGTAATTTGGAGAGTCAGACTTTTAGAGCTTGGCGAGATCCAGTCCAGCATCCTTATTTCTCAGAAGGCAGAGACCTAGGCCTGATAAGCAGTGTACCAGGGTACAGTTACCTGTAGTCAAGCGGGTACGATACCTACAAAACAAGGACTCCTGACCCCTATAAAGCATTTCCCTGGCCTTCTGCACAGCACACTCAACAAGGACTGGGCTTGGATCCTTAACATAAGGTCTGCTGGCCAGGGGACATCGCGCAAGTGACAGTCCCCTTCTGAACTCTGCATCTGTAATGTGGTTTTACCTCTAAGTGTCCAGCTAGTCTCAGTCAATACACACGTTCCCTAAGGGATACTGGAAGCTATTCCAGTAAATTTCTCCCTGCTGTAGTTAGGTTTCAGAAATACTCTTCCTCCATTGCTAAACCTCTTAAATTGGAAATAACAGCTTTGCTGGAACTTTCTTTTGCTCCAGCCTCAGTCAAATGGTAACTTAAAGGTCTATAAATATAAAGCATTTAAAGTGAAGAAACAACTAGAAGGACTTTTGAGGTGACTCCTCCTGTGGGGGAGAGGATCCTCCTCTAACTGTGTCTAGATTCGCTTCATCAATGAATCACACTCCCAGTTCAGCACCTCAGGCTCTGGACTACCAGGAACTCCCTCTGGATCTCAGGGGAGATTTAGATATATACACTCATTTTTTTGTTCCTAGTTCTTACATGAGTGAAAATTTGAGGATTATAGACTTATAAAAATTTTATGTATCTATCTGAAAGGCAGAGTGACAGAGAGGTCTTCCATCCTCTGGTTCACTCCCCAAATGGCTGCAACAGCCAAAGCTGTGCCAGTTTGAAGCCAGGAGCCAGGAGCTTCTTCTGGGTCGGTACAGGGGCTCAAGTACTTGAGCCATCTTCCACTGCTTTCCCAGGCACATTAGCAGGGAGCTGGATCAGAAGTGGAGCAGCCAGGACTTGAACTGGTGCCCATATGGGATGCCGGCATCACAGGCGCCAGTGCTGGCCCCAGACTGTCCTTTTTAAAAGCCTGAAAAGTACTGGATGCTAACAGTGTCCCTAATACTAGAAAAAGCTTTGAGGTAGAAGTGGAGAGGGATGGTGGACAACAGAGCCAACTGCAGGTAAGGGATTTAATTTGAAACCTTGGGGCTGGCATCCTGGTGCATTGGGTGAAGCTGCTACCTGCAACACTGGCATCCCGTATCAGCACTGGATGGACTTCCGGTCTCCTGGCTTCGGCCTGGCCCAGACCCAGCTGTTGAGGCCATTTGGGGAGTGAACCATGGGATGGACGAGCAATCTCCTCCCTGCCCCAAAACTCTGCCTTTTAAATAAACAAAATAAATCTTTAAAAAAAATTTTTGAAACCAAGAAATGAGAACAATTCAGTTTTATATCGAATAAACTGCAGCAAGAGTTTAGAAGAAAAGCATGAATTATAGCAGAATCACTATTTTAAAAGTCACACCAGTGATTTTAGGAGTGAAGTCTTAATGAATAAGAGAAAAACAGAAAGCAAGGAGGAAGGTATCTGTGTAAGTGTACCTGGCGAGGAATACGTGCCACTTGGCTAGAAATGCATTGGAAGGAAAGGTTGACGCATTTCTTTGTAGATGGAGGTTTATGAAGGTAGGATAAATGACAACTATAACACAATAATTCAAGTAGTTAACGTTTGCTTAGCCTAACTATCGCCAGGTTCTATTCTAGGTGGATGTATAGGGAGACATACACACTAGGTGTGCTTGTGCTACATAACACACCTCTCTAACAAACCCCACAAAGGAGGTACTATAATAAGATTAATTTTCCAGACTAAACACAGGTCTACCGTGTTCTAGGTGGGTGCTTCAAAGTTCATGGAGGGGCAGGCATTCCGCCTGGTCTGAAATGCCCACATCCCACATCCCAGGGCCCGGGTGTGATTCCCAGCTCCAGCCTCCTGCCAATGCAAACCCTGGGAGGCAGCCGAGGGCTCGGGGACTGGGTTCCTGCTGTCCCATGGGAAGCCTAGTCTGTGTTCCCAGCTCCTGGCTCCAGCCCCGGCCTGGCCCCAGATGTTGCATGCTTCTGGGGAGTAAACTAGTAGATAGGAGCTCTTTTCTGTCTCTCAAAAAATAATTTAAAAACTTTTTTAAGTTCACGGAAAAATGTAATTAAAAGTTAATTTCAGTGCAAAACACTTTGAAATCTATGCATAGTTTTTTAATAATATGTACTTCCTTCAAACTTACTGAAGACCCCTCATATACACTTCCTAAGGCTATAAAGAGAGGAATTCTAGAGATTAGAACACAAACAGCATGACCCTGGAGCCCAAATTCATGGCTTGAAGATTTTGTCACCTATAACAATGTCACACTGGCAAAATTCTTTCTTAGTATACTAATTTCCAGGGCACACAGTCCAACCTCTAAATGGATTAAATTATTCCATTTTCTCTTTAAAAGGCCCAGGCTTAATCAGTTGTAGAAGTTCCTAAAGACAAAAGTTTTATTTGAAGGCACTTAAATGATGGGCATGCTCAGGGCTAGCAAATTTTATTCACTATTTTAAAAAAACAAGGCATTCTGGCTTGTTACTGGACTCAAGATACAGTACCTGGTATAGGACATTCTGAAATGATACCTGGGGTACGTGCCAAAGCTGTGTTTTTATTTGGAACCTGCAGCACACATTCCCATAGGAACAATGCCATGAATGGCTCAGGGTCATGTTCACACCCCAGCGTCTCCTAAAACCATAATGTAGCTGTATGTCAGCCGAACAATGCTGCAGTATGCCTTGTATCAGCAGCACTGTCCAGCAGCGCCTACTCCACTGAGCCCTCAAGGCTGAATGGCCTTTGTGCTCCTTGTGCCTAGCACATTCTTCCCACAGAGCTGGCACTTAATACATGCTTGGTAAACGAAAGAATTTAAAAAACAGCCCAGGAAGCAGTCTCTGCTCTCTCGGAATACCAGCTCTACCGCTTCTTTGGTCACAAGGAAAGGTCTGTACCTAGAAAGGCCTATGATTTTCATCCACAGAAATTAGGATTATCATAATCCTTATAGGATTCTTGTATAAATTAGAGATGACAAGTGTTTGCCTTTTTAATCCGTGCACAGTATAATTTTTAAGAGGATTAATGCCATCATTGCCAACAGTGTTGATAGAATTTTCACGAAATGACCAAGTTCAACCCATTGCTTTATGGAGGAGGAGGCACACTGAGGCACGCAGTCTGCAGGGATAAAACCTTGGTCTCAATCCTGGTCGAGGGCTCTTCCCATCATTCTAACTGCAGCCCCCACGTATGCCTGTTTTCTCCTCTGCACCAATTATGTTTTGCTGAAATACAGGAGCTGTTCAAATCTGCAAGGGTTGCCTGCACTTAGACAAAAAGCCCTCAAACTGCTAATGCTTTCGGAAACTGCAGCTGGTTGGTATTTTTCTGCACCTTTGCTTGTCAAGCCAACAAGCTGTCACTTCTAAAAGGTGTGTTCAGCTCCTGGCTGCCCGCCGCTTCAGTGAAACTCAATGTTCATAATTTAGCTTCCAGTGAGGACCTGGGGAAGGGTTCCATGAGTTATAGTTCCAACTCCTGAGCTTTGCTGATCCACAATCAGACTGCTTTCTTCATTTGCTTCATGCCAAGGCACAGGACAGCTGCGATGGCCAATCAAGTAACTTGTGAGTGAGTGAGGTGTTCTGTAGTTCAGCTGCATTATGGGTTTAAGAGTTGAATTTGTCCACCCAGAAAGCAAGGAGGGACACAGTGGTTTCTGGAATATTCCTCCCTGGCTTCAGGAGTGAAGAAGAAATGTGGTATCTACAATTTAATCCACGCAGTCTTAAAATTTTTCATCCCTCTCTCAAGAGGCAGCGTAGCATCTTCCCGCCACCAGAGGGCACAGTCGAAACAGAAGGCTCCGGCAAGCCACAGGCAGCTTCATCAGGAAGGCAGGCCACAGGCAGCTTCATCAGGAAGTCCCTTTCTGCACGTGGCATTCACAGCGAGTTCCTCTTGCAGAACTTCTACCTACCTCGAGTACTCACTCTGCAGACTCAGGCTTTGTGTGGCCCGCCTCACCCTGCCCGTCTCCTGTCTCAGCAGCCACCCTCAGTAGTCCCAGGCTGCTTGAGAGTCACCTTGAGCAGAATTCTCCCTCACAATGGACTTCCAAGTCTCGCCCATTTCCCCACTCGGTAATTCTCAAATCTGTCTGTCCCATCTCCACCTCGCTGGTCCTCTATTGTAACAGAGGTGCCGAGGACCTGAGGTGCTACCACGGGCCCCTTGCTGGTCTCCCAAATCCATCCTTGCTCTCAGACGATCCGTGAAGAACAAAACCAGGCCACGCCGTTCTGCTGTGGTTCCCCTGGCGCACCTTCAGACTCAAGTGTGAGCTCTTCCTGGTGAGGCACACCAGGCCCTCCCTGCCCACCACCTGCTCTGTGCTGGGCTGCTTCCTGCTTTAACCTCATGTTCTACCAGCATGAAACTGCCTGCCACCCCACAGACACTTCACACATTTCTTAGCGCCAGTCTTACTCATGCTGACTGGGTCTTCTCTCTGAACCTCCCACGTATCATTTAAGAAATTAGTTTATCACCTCCTCCTGAAAGCTTTCTTTAACACCTTCCTCTTAGGTCTTGGTATTACTTTGTCCTTACCACACTTGACTTTAGGTACCACAACAGCAGCACGAAGTAGGCATTCAAGCACAGGCTAACCTGACTCTCTCGGTTCCGGTCCTGGCCCTGCCACTTACTAGGTGCATGTGACTTAGAGTAGGCCTCTTCAATTCCTGCATCTCAGACGGGTGGGAAATCCTTCCTGGTTGTAGCGATTGCGCGGCAGTGTCCTGTGACTGACCAGGTGCTAAGAACTGGCTACGGGGGCCAGCATCGTGGTGCGGCCAGTTATGCTGCCGACTTCGACACCACCATCCCACACCTGAGCAACAGTTCCAGTCTGGGCTGCTGCACTTCCGACCCAGCTCCTAGCTAATGCACCTGGGAAAGCAGCAGAAGGTGCCCCAAGTACCTCAGTCCCTGCCACCCAAGTGCAGTTGGAGACCCAAACGGAGTTCCCGGCTCCTGGCTTTGGCCTGTCCCAGAGCCCTGGCCTCTGTGGTCATTCGGAGAGTGAACCAGTGGATGGAAGCTTTCTCTCCTCTCTGTAACTCTGCCTTTCAAATAAATCAATAAAATCTCAAAACACACACACACACACACACACAAAGGAATGAAAGACGTTGGCTATTACAGTGACCTGTGTGGTAGTCTCCCCCACCAGGATGTGAGCCACCTGAAGGCACGGATTTTGGCTGCTGGTTTCTGGAACATGCTAGGTATTCAGTAAGTGCTCCTGAAGGAATAACAGGAGGCAGCTCCACGACGACAGGAGAGATGACCCAATTCCCTTCTCTCCGGAGCTCCTACACATTTTTAAAACACTATACCGTTTCCAACTCTGGGGCTTCAATTATTTTGTTTACTTCTAACCCAAATCCTGAAAACATCACGCCTCTGATTATAATTCAGTAAAATTAAACCAATAGAGTATCATAAAAAGTGTTCATTCTAAGAAGCGTAATACAACTTCATTTTTAAGCCTTACGTCTATTTAAGATTTAAGATTCCTTGGCTGGTGCTGTGGCTCACTAGGCTAATCCTCCGCCTGTGGCGCCGGCACCCTGGGTTCTAGTCCCGGTTGGGGTGCCAGTTCTGTCCCGGTTGCTCCTCTTCCAGTCCAGCTCTCTGCTGTGGCCCGGGAAGGCAGTGGAGGATGGCCCAGGTGCTTGGGCCCTGCATCGGCATGGGAAACCAGGAGGAAGCACCTCGCTCCTGGCTTCGGATCAGCTCTGCTCCAGGCTTTGTGGCCATTTGGGGAGTGAACCAGCGGATGGACAATCTCTCTGTGCCTCTCAAATAAATAAATAAATATCTTAAAAAAAAAAAAAAAGATTCCCTTTAATCCCAAATCACCTAGCACACACAAAAAAAGCCTTTCTGATTTCACACATGGTATTATTTCCTTTGCTTATAGGCTCCAACTAGAGTGACAAATAATGTCTCAAACTGGGAGGCTGCACGTATCACCACACTCAAGGTATTAAGTATTTGGCATCCCTGCCTTATTCTAAGCTCAGAGCTTGTCTTATTAAGGCAATCCTTGGGCTTCCATTTATCTATCTATCTATCTATTTAAAGTGTAGAGTTACAAAGAGATATCTCCCATCCTCTGGTTCACTCCCCAAAAGGCTGCAATGGCCAGAACTTCTTCGAGGTCTCCCACAGATACAGGGGCCCAAGGACTTGGGCCATCTTCTACTGCTTTTCCAGGAGCATTAGGGAGCTGGACTGGAAGTGGAGCAGCAACTGGGACTCGAACTGGTGCCCATATAGGATGCCAGCAGGCAGGAGACAGTTTTACTCACTATGCCCAACTCCAGGGCTCCTAATAGTTGCCTGACATATAGTTGGTTTTTAATGAATCTTTGAATGAATGAATGAAGTAACTTTTATTTTGCTTATTAATTTTTTGCTTATTTCAATCCCAGCAACTTTTATATAGTGGTTGAAAATGCACAAAGTAGGGGCCAGTGCTGTGGCACAGTGGGTAAAGCCGCCACCTGCAGTGCCGGCATCACATATGGACACCGGTTCGAGTCTCAGCTGCTCCACTTCCCATCCAGCTCTCTGCTATGGCTTGGGAAGGCAGTAAAAGATGGCCTAAGGCCTTGGACCCCTGCACCCATGTGGGAGATCCTGAAGAAGCTCCTGGCTTTGGATCAGCACAGCTCCGGCCGTTGCAGCCAATTGGAGACTGAACCAGCGGGTGAAAGACCTTTCTCTCTCTCTGGCCTCTCCTTCTCTCTCTGTGTAACTCTAACTTTCAAGCAAATAAAAAAAGAAAAGAAAACGTACAGAGTATTTCCCCATACATTATGCAGCCCACTCAAACCACTGTGAGATGGGTATTACCCTCATTTTACGATAAAAGGAACACGCTCAGGCTCACTGGTTAGTTCAGCCCAAACTGCTCATCTTGTGAGCAGCAGCCACAACTCAAGCCTCTGACTCCTGATTCATAGCGCTAAGTTTCAGTGTTGTAAAGCAGACAGTTCTCTTTCTGGGCATGACTAGTAACTGAAGTGCCCCCTCTGGACTATTTTAAGCCTTCCAGGGCCACCTTTTTTTTTTTTTTTTCCATGAATCTAGATGCTGGCGTCATTCTCTTATCGTCCTGTCTCGCAGGCACAATGTCTGGCCACTTCCCCATCTCTGCTTTCATTTGCTGACTTTCACTGGCCACCAGAGCACGCCTTCCCTGAAGTCCCGATTTAGGGACTGGTGTTGTGGTGCAGCAGGTTAAGCTTCGCGTGAGACGTCAGCATCTCACATGGGTGCTTGTTGGGACCCCGCTGCTCCACTTCCGATCCAGCTCCCTGCTAATGCGTCTGGAAAGGCAGCGGTGGATGGCCCTAGTGCTTAGGCCCCTGCCACCTACGTGAGAGAAGAGGTTCCGGGGTCCTGGCTTCGAATCCGCCCAGCTCCAGCCATTGTGGCCATATGGGGAGTGAACTAGCAGATGGAAACTCTCTCTGTCTCCCCCTCTCTCTGTAATTCTGCCTTTCAAATAAATTTTAAAAAATAATTTTTTTGGGCCAGCGCCGTGGCTCACTAGGCTAATCCTCCACCTAGCGGTGCCAGCACACCAGGTTCTAGTCCCGGTCGGGGCGCCGGATTCTGTCCTGGTTGCCCCTCTTCCAGGCCAGCTCTCTGCTGTGGCCTGGGAGTGCAGTGGAGGATGGCCCAAGTGCTTGGGCCCTGCACCCCATGGGAGACCAGGAGAAGCACCTGGTTCCTGACTCGGATCAGCGTGGTGCGCCAGCCACAGCGTGCCGGCCGTGGCGGCCATTGGAGGGTGAACCAACGGCAAAAGGAAGACCTTTCTCTCTATCTCTCTCTCTCTCACTGTCCACTCTGCCTGTCAAAAAAAATTTTTTTTAAAGTAGAGATGGAGCACTTCACTCACATAGACAACTAACAGGAACTCTGGTTGCTAATTGAATTCTTTAATTTTCAAGTTTTGTTTTCCAAACAATTTTAATTTGAAAACATTAAAAAACTACCCGCCCAATACCCTCAGACAATCAAGGGTGTGACTATTTTGAGGCTTAGGTTTTTGATCACCAAGGTCTCCACAGTTCACCCTTTCTGAATACACTAAACGAAGGAGTAAGTGATTCTGTACTTTGACTAAGGTCTTTTGAGTTAATAAATGACTATGCATTTAGAAGCCAAAATCGAAGTATACTCAGAAATCTACCTTAAATGTATGCCAAGATGCCAATGATGAGTGGCATTCAGGAAGTCCCTTTCGCCCCTCCTCAACATCAGTCCTTGCCTTGCCACATCTGGGACAGCACAGCCACTGACCCACCCCCACCCCCCCCTTGTTTCTTCTAACGTCCTGTCCATGAAGTTCAGCATGCAATCTCTGGTCACAGAGCAGCACTGGGTAACTTGGCAGTGGCCTTCACGGCCAGTATAACCAGGACTTCCTTCCGAACTGTAATATTACAGCACTCTCTACACATGGGAGGGTTTGGCTCTGTCTGAATGAGTCTAGTGGGTGTACATCCATCGGAGGCTGGACTTCAACATTAACTAGCCCACCAGACTACCGTAAGTTCTCTACCAGGGCGCACCTAAAATAGTACCTGTTATATTTAAATTCTCCTGTTACTTCATCACAGAATTTCAGATCAGCCCAATGTAAAACACCCCCTTTTCCCCTTCCCTGGTAATTCTTGCCCTCAGCGAACAGAGAACACGAGCCCTGAACCACAACACACCAGCCCTGGGCAGGCCTTAGGCACACACAGCAACACGGCTGTGAGCAAACTCTGCCTTCTCTCAAGTTCAACAAGGAATTCACTGTTCGCAGTGATTATCCCAGAGAGAGTGGGAGTCAAAAGGACTTTCATTTTTATATGTAATGTACTTCAGTATAGGTTGAATCTTTACAAAGTGCCTGAAGTTTATAAGATATCTCCGTTTTAAGAAAAAGGACATAACTTTTAATTGTTTCCCAAAGCATACAATAATGCAATTTCACTATAAGAGCGACCAGCACAAGATGAAAAGTACCAGGAGGAAACTTCTATAAAGACCAAAGTGACCAAACATTTCTCAAATAAACCTCCTGGTGTGTGTGTGGGGGGGGGGGGGGCAACATATTGTAGCTAAAAATTAAAAATCTACGGAAATTCCCCCGCATTTATATCCCGAATGATTTCCTCCCCTTTGGGCCAGGTTAACAGCAAAGGCTTAGCCGGCCAGGGAAGCACAGGCCTGCACGCAGGTGCTCCTCCACCCCTGCACAGCAGAAAGGGAAATGGTTTTGTGAACGCGCACAGAGACTCTTAAAAAAACAGGCCGGGGGGGGGGGCGCGTCTTCTCCAGAGCCTGGCAGAAGGGGAGACGCAGGAAACCCTGCAGAAACCGAACAGCGTTCAAGCGCAATCAGAACACAAGGTCACGAGTAAGTGGCTGTGCTGCGCTCACGCCCGCTGCGCTCCCAGTCCCGTCTCTCTTGACAGTGCAGGCCATCCTGCTCCGTTCTCCGACAGCAATGACAACGTGGCCCCAGCTCCTGCTGCAGGCTGCGCTGCCCGCGCGCCCCCGGCCACGCGTCTCTCAGGACGAAGCCTCCCGCTAGCTCCCAAAGGCATTCACGCTGTCAAGACCCGGCCAAGGGCCTCAAAGGACAAGCTTGAAGCTCTGAGCACGTGACAGCCAGCCTCACCTTTTCCTGTCTCAATTCTCATTTTCTCCCGACCAGACCCATTTGCAATGACACAACTTTAGAGAATCAACGGAAGATGCTTTTCTCCGCTTCTCCCTCCCTCTCTGCCTTTCAAATCAATAAAATGAACCTTAAAAAAAAAGTTTCATAGACTTGAGTTCTCCCGTTTCAAAGACGACCGCGATCGCGTTTGAAGTTGGTCCCCAGCACCGCCATCCCTCACCCAATCCGCTTCAAAGCGCCAGAAGCTGCCGGAGTCCAAGTTACCTCGGAGAGCTCGCTCGGACCGCTCCTCGGGCGTGAGCGTCCCGGGGGGGACTGCTCCAGTGCGGAGCCTGCCACGCGGGAAGCCCCCTCGGCGACCCCGGCCCGCTCCGGCGCCCACGAGCCATCGCCGCCTCTGCCCCGCAGGCTGCCCGCCCGCGAACGGGCGGCCGGGGTCGGAGCCGTGCCTGCGCGCACCGCGCCCGGGCCCCGCACAACTTCGCGGCGAGCGCCCACCGCGGGAGCGCTCCGGGCACACAACCCCAGACCTACCCACTTCTACGGAACAAGCAGCATGTGTTGCCGGCGCGAGGGGGTGGGAAAAGCGCGCAGCAAGAATCCGCCGCCTCCTCCCTCGGAGCGCGCCCGAGTCGGCGGCCGCGGCCTCCGGGACGCTTCCCCTCCCACCCGCCCGGGAGCCGCAGCTGGGAGTTGAGAAGCGGGCTCCGGGCACGTCAATCACCCGCGCCCTCCCGCCTCCCGTCTACACCTCCCCTCCCCCCCCTCCAAAAAACACAGGCGCAGGGGAGAGAAGGTAACTAATTTGGGAACCACGTCTCCACCGGGGGGCTTCGCCCTCCGACCCCAGAGGCGGCGCGCCCGCAGCCCCCGCCGCAGGCCCGGCAGCCGCCCGCCGCCCGGCGTTCCTCCCCGCGCGTCCGGCTCCCCCGCACCGGCCGCCCCGCACTCCGGCCCCGGCCCCGCGCGGCCCGGGCCAAAGTTGCGCAAATAGCCCCACCGCTGGCAAATACTCACCGGCCGCAGCGGGAACCGGGGCTGCGGAGGTTTTAGGGAGTTTAAGGCAGATCGGCCGCGGGGAAAGGCGGGCGGAGGCCGCGGACCGTCTCTGCAGTGACAGAGACGCGCGGCGCTCAACTGGTTGCGTCAAAACTCAAGGAAAGCCTTTGTTGAGTGCCTAGTTTTTCAGAATCCACCAAGACTGGTTTGAAACCGGGGAAGTTAGAAAAATTTCACAAATAACTGCCTTACCACTATGCTCACTTATCCACACACCCCACCACCCTAGCTCAGGGGGAAAACAATGTCGCTCCCCCTCTTCGTGGAGGAGCAACACAGGACCCTGCGCTGTTTTTTCGTCCGCTCGGCCCTCCCCGGGTTTGCTGCTGGTTCTTCCCGGGTTGGCTACTAACCCTTCCACCTCCGTGGAAGGGGCAGTTCCCCCTGGCCACATTCCCAACTTCCGAGGGGGAACGGACACCGCCGGCCGGGTTCTCTCGGGGCTGGTCGGAGTCCCCTTAGATGTTCCCCCATAGAGGTTCCCGGGGCATGGCGCTCTCTCCCCCTTTATAGTCCCCCTCCGCCAATCATATATTGGGCTGCCCACACGGCAAGAACGCTGGTTTCCAATCTGGAGTGAGTCGTAGGGGTATTAGATGAACCTGAGGTAGCTGTTGGGAGCTGGTTACTTCTCCCCCAGCCC